TCTTAGCTGCTTGTTCAAGCATTGAATCAGTCAAGAAATCCGGGTACTTAAATGTAGTGTTGTATCCACCTTTTGTCGAGCAGAAACGAAACGGCCCGTCGACAAGACTATGACACAGGTCACTGGCTCGCGGATGCCGCAGTTGAGCTGAGCTGAAGGCAGCGTCAAAACTACACAGCAGAATCGCAGATGATAAAACTATCAGGTACATGATGTACTTGAGTGTGTCTGGCGTGCAATGGAATCACAACTTTTTCGCCCGTTTGCAAACCAGTTGTGTGATCAAGTCAGTCGCTTGTCACTATCTGTTTTCAGTTGAACTCTTCTCAGATATAAACAGTGCAAATTAGCATGAATTAAATTTCCTTTGTTTATGTTGTGATGACCTCGGGCTTTTAATACACTGACGCACTGACTCTGACCATCTGTCACGTCACGTTATACACCCAGCCCCCACTGTACGACAGTAAAAAAAAGTCCTTGCGTAAGAAGCCCCTTTTGCATGCTATACCGTGGAAATAGGTGAAACAAAAGGTCCGGGTGAAATATAAATTTTTTTGTTGGTTTGATTGTTGTTGCTGTTGTTGAATCCTGATTATGACACCCCCTCCCCTTCACCCTGTTTCTCTCTCTTTCTTCTGCCTAAAGCCAATTTGTCCACTGACGACCCGTGCTAGCAAAAGAAAACTGGAAATTAGAGCTGACCCGGATATAAACCCTCACCATCCATGCAGTTACCTTCTGGTTCACAGGATATGATATGTCTTCAAGTTTGGTACAGATCAAAACTCTGATTCAGGGAGTCTTTCTTACAATATTAGGGACCTTTCACATATACGACGGCGAAGGCTAGGACGACGCCTATCAAAAAGTTTGTTTATATTTTACTTTGGAATTTCGCATTTACGTAGATCTATTCAATGTGTTTGTCGGTATTAAAACTTGGCCCTGCTGGATATGCTACGAATGCGTTCAGTTCCAAATAGAAATACGAAAAATTAGTCGTAGTGGGTCCTTTCAAATTTGAAACTGGTCATTTCAAGTTGTTGATTTGCAGAGGACGGCAAAGAAATGTACCAAGAATTATATTGCACGTACACAGCCATTGTTCTGCTCATTAAACCTTTTGTTTGGTGACGTTCTCGTTGCCGTTGCCGTCGTGTTTTGCGTAAGGTCCCTAATTTATTGCTCATCAGTTCAAGAGCTCTTCTTTGATGTCAGTTTACTTCCAAACGGTTTTTTTCTTATCTATAAAGAAAGTCAAAACAAATCAGAAAAATCACTGCTGGCAATAGTTTTATCCTGTTGTTACTGATTGCTGTCGGTAAAGATTTGTCCAAAATACTTCCTTAATGCACATTCTAATAAGAGTTCCTCTTAGGATGGTCTACTGTATAGCATTACACTGAAACTACACGTTTAGCGTCCTTATGGAGAAAGACAGTTCTACTAAGAAAATAATCCTTGTATAATATGTCGAATTATTCTCGAATTTTGCTCAAGACACGACCAAACGATCGTAACATTTCAACGCAACATTGTTGGGCGCAACATGCTGCGCACGTTTGGCCACCTGTTGCGCGTGTTGCGACATGCTGTGTGTTGTTATCTCAAGTTTGAAAATGGTCATATTTGAGCCAGCAACACCCAATTGTCACAATACGTCGCAACAGAGTGGCCAGACGCGCGCAACGTGTAGTATGTTGCTCCCAACAATGTTACGATATGTTTCGTTGAAATGTTGCGATCGTTTGGTCGGGGCTTTAGTTCTTACTTATGATCAATT